TAATTTGCGATTATTTTATAATTTTACTGCAGTTTTAATTTAAATTCAGCCGTTTAGTGGGATCGTTATAAAATATATCAACAACTGACAATAGTATAATCTAATTAGCACCAGCCAATCAAATGACAGATTTAAAAAATCGTTTGTCTAATCGGCCAATCAGACGAAAAAGCCAGAATCTGGCTTTTTACATGCGCCGCGGTAAAGAATTGTATCAGGCCCTCCTTCATTCGCCGCCGCCAATTAATCCTGGCGAATGAAAACATAAGGGCCTGATACTCAGGTTAAAACTATGCTTAATCTAATATAATTATTGTGGATTTCATAAGGATTGTCATTATTTTCGTTAAACATAATACATTTTATTTCACTTTCCCCACACGAAAACACGATTTCAGCCATATTTTCCTGTCTTGTTTGCTTTTTATCGCCGAATCTCCCAAATATTATCCAGTCGTTGTACTTTTGCATAATGCTAAATGGCTGAAGAATATTTCAACCAAGTTTCATCAAGTTTTGAAACAGTGCAGTCTATTTTATCTTCGATATTGTGTCCTTCGATATTTCGTGAAATATGGCGCAATTGCAATGGCTCGCCGCTTTTTGACCAATAAATACCACTTCTTCGTCTTCATATTTATTTAGATTACATTATTCAAGAGTACTTCATTGTAGAATAGTCCCAATCCAAAAATTGAAAACATTAATTTCACTTGAAAGGAAAAGGCCTCCCATAACAGTTGTCTTGTCAGAATTCAAAAGAAGTAATTTAAAAGTCACGCGCAAGTTCGTGGAAAATATTCACCCCCCTGTCATGAAGCCCACGAGGAGTTTTCGAGAACTTGCGCGTGACTTTTAAATTACTTCTTCTACACGCTTCCGGAAAGTACGTCACCTTGGCTATAGAGCCTCGTTTCCATGACTGAGCATCAGGCTTTGGCTAATGTCAGATACACGAAAACGAGGCCGGCAATAGCCAAAGTGACGTACTTTCTGGAAGGGTGTATTCTGACAAAACAACTGCTATGGGAGGCTTTTTCCTTTCAAGTGCAACTAATGTTTTCAATTTTTGGATGGGCTATTCACTATTCTACAATGAAGTACTCTTGGATAATGTAATCTAAATACATATGAAGACGAAGAAGTGGTATTTATCGGGCAAAGAAGCGGCGAGCCATTGCACAGTATCGAAGATAAAATACACTACAATCGGCGATAAAAAGCAAACAAGACGGTAAAATATGGCTGATGTCGTCTTTTCGGGATAAGTGAAATAAAATGTATTATATTTAAAGAAAACAATGACAATCCTTATGTGATCCAATTGTGTTAAATTAAACATAGTTTTTCATCCCATGATAATATTTTTTAGGAAATAAGAAAATTTAATTTCTGCCAGTCATATTAGTTATTTTATGCATAATTAGCTATTTACCTGGGGTAGTGCATGGTCATTTTCTTGTAAAATATTATACTTAGACAGATTTTTCCTTCCAATGACCACCCCTAAAAGCAACCCTTCTAAACACTATAAGCACTTCAGAAAGGCTATCGCTTTTCCTTTTCGGAAGTTAGAGCTATATCGACACTGCCGTTTCAGGGCGGGGTCATTTCCAGGACTTTCGTCCCGGATTCAGGTTTTGGCACATATGCCATGTTGACCGCCATGGTCATTTTACCCTAAAACAGTTGAGATTACCTGTCCTAAATGAAATGCATACCAACTTATATACAGGTCCTAGACTACAGCATTATTTCTTCGAAGACCCACACCTATCAAAAATTTTATCCCCTAAGGTGGTGTTTGTCCTTGAGTGCGAATACATCGTCTTGCTTGGGAAACCATGCCATCATGATCAATAGAATTATGCTGGATAATTTTTTTATTGAAGGTTGGTTCTCAAATTTAAAAGTAAGTATACGAACGATCATAAAGTTTTATTCCTAATTTCAGGAAAAAATAGTTGTCCTGAAGGATGGATCCCCTATAACGATACGTGTTATCAGTTCAACATGGGTCCGTCTCAAAAAATGACCTGGAGTGAGGCTGAAGCAGCGTGCAAATCAATTTCAGATTTTGCTTCACTTGTTAAAATTACGGGCCAGAATGAGCAAGACTTCGTAACACGACGAATCCAAGATTTTTCTAGTAACGCAGACGTCTGGATAGGTCTTAGTGATCTCAAAAACGAAGGCGTATTTAAATGGTCTGATGACGGGTTTGATCTAACCAACACAGATTACCAACTTTGGGCGAATGGTAAACCATCTGAAAATAAAGAAAACAGTGACTGTGTGATGATATTGTGGGTGAGGCAAGATGGCGCATGGACCGTTCAAGATTGTTCGTTAAAACAAAACTTTATTTGCACGAGAAACCGAGGTAAACAAATACTAAACTTTTTTAATCTTGACGAATTAGGGTTGTGCGCACTGTCAATGTAAGAGTACATAGATACCCGAGTAGCTACTCATTAAGGCCTTGTAATAGGATTATTGAATCATCAAAATGTCTGTATCCGTGGGGCAATGAACCAATGACTAGGTTGTCGTTCTTACAGAGTATTCCCGTGCATGAGTCATCGCGTAACCTATTTTTTCAGAGTAATTTAGAGGGTCTGTGGAAGTGTCATGGCTTGCGTTTAACAGTATCTCAGTAAAAGGTGAATAACAAAATACTATAGCATTATCAACATGTTATATTGCCATCATTAGCATTTATTCCTCTTCCTGAAAAATGTTTGAAACGGCGACCTACACTGAGTTCGAATTGGATTTTAGACTATAGTATAATTACATGAGGATAATCGTGTGTGTGAATCAGGTTAAAACAAACACTAAAAATACAAGATACAAGAACTCCTCGTTTGATTGAACTGCAGATCGGGAATCGGACCCATAGATATCTTATATACACTAGATAGCGCATCTAATTATTCTGCAATTCAAAAATTGAAGCCGTGATTGCAGGCTCAGGATCTTCCCATGAAATGAGAAGATTCGTATGTATCCTATTTCTTAAACAGGGAACTTAAACATTAAATTAATCCTATTATAAATACATTTTCAAACTATTCAAATGATGAAAGTTATTGTTATTTTTTAAGCGTTTATTAGCGAGTGGGAAGATCCAACATGGCCGCCATCTATTCAAATGGGGGTAACCGCTGGGATATTCTTGGCTTCAATTTTACTAAAAGAGATGCGCTATCTAGTTTATATAAGATATCTATGATCGGATCGGATTGGACGTTTATAATCCGACAATTGCCTAATGTTTAAAATTCGATCCGATCCGAAATTGTCTAATCCAAATCAGGTCCGAGTTTTGATAAAGAATTCCGATACGATACGATCCAAAGAATCCTTTAATAAAATAAATTTATCATTCAAGTTGAAATATTTAACCAAATAAATATAAAAGCATGAAATACATGTCAAGAAGCTGACAAAGTGACGTCCAACTGAAGTATCAAACGAATAATGCAGCGACAACCGTGATAACGCTTTGATAAATGCATGGATAATTAATTCTTGCGATAATGCGTGGAGAATTAATTCATTTTATTTCGAATATCGAAGTCCGATCCAATCCGACTACGAAACAACTTTAGATCAATCCTATCCGATCCGAAATGTATATTTTTGTTCCGAAATCCGAACGAATCCGATCGGATCGAATTTGCACACCTCTACCACTTTGTAGTACTTGGTACACTGTACGTAGTACAAGTATTACCATAGCAACACGATCATTTAAAAGTTTTAAATTTTAAAAATATTTTTCATACAAATTGGCAAAATTAGTTGGAAGATTAATACTTTTTAATGTAACTAGACAACAATGAATTTCCGAAATATATACTGTAGGTATATATGTTATTTTGCATTTTGTGAACTTTGATTAAATGTAAAAATAGGTACGCTGTAGCGTACATGGCGTCTACTGGGTCAAAAACAAAGAAGGTCAATGCCGTTCGGTTTATATTTACATTTCCGACATTGGAGTGGGGAAGATTAAAATATCTCGGCAAGTATTTACCCGCCCTTTTAAACGAAAACCACCGTTCAGATCCTCATCAAATAACCTTTCGAACGGTGGGTCGAATGCCGTCATAACATTACACAAAGAAAAACAATCGTATATTTACTCACCGCTTGGCCAAACATTCTGTACTTCATATGGAGAAAATAATTGAATACCTTCTGAAGTCAATAAGAGTGAAATATCACTTGTATTCAAGCGCTTTCGTGTACAAAGTTTCGTTTGAATACGGCGGACTAGAAATATTTATTTTGAATTTTTCAGAATATCGGGCTGTTACTCGCACGCGCGTGCCACATGCTACAATTGGCCAATAATGAGCACCCATAGCCCCGATGCACGTGCAAATCACGCTACACGAAGGGGTAATTTGACCTTTAGAATTTCCGACGTTTCCCGAGTGCCAGAATGTAAACATCCCATTGTTTTAAATATGTCAAGCTGTATTTCTGGTCGAGGCTCTCACGTAAAATTTAGATATTCTGAAATACCGAAATAAAAGTTGCAAATTTGTAGATATAAACTTAAATATAACATTCTAAATAGTGTCTTGGATTGTGATTCGAACAAGAATATTACGAAAAAGATAGGTTGAAAGGGGCTAAAGTTGGGCGTTGTGAAAACCCGGAATGCCGGAATATCACGGAATATCACGGACTATGGCGGAATATCACGGAATATGGCGAAATATCACGGAATATGCCGGAATATCACGGAATATCACGACGTCGACATTTTTACCGGAATATACCGGAACATCACGATATTTTCCGATGGTAGCTATGCGACTGTTTATACTGAATGTTCCAAAAATCAAATGCAAAAATAATGGCAAGTTTGAGCCAAGATGTTTAAATTCTTGTTTATACCAGGTAAGAAGTCTCGTCTTAACCTCAACCAAGAATTTTTAACCATTTAAATTTTGTGTATATCACATTTCGGAAGGCGTTCGAAAATAATGCTGACGTCAGCACTTGTATTTTTCAAGATGCTGTAACTCTGGAGGAATTAATCGTATTGAGTCAAAATTTTTAGTGAACACTCGTAATAATGATATAAACAACATATAAAACTTCCAGTGTAGAGTTATTGTTTGTTACTTACCGTCAAAATGGGAAAGATCCATCGATGACTTTTGTAATAAAATATGTTGTCAGACACTCAGACGTCCATGTTTATAAACAATCACATGGCTACCATCGGAAAATATCGTAATATTCCGGTATATTCCGGGAAAATGTCGTGATATTCCGTGATATTCCGCCATATTCCGTGATATTCCGCCATATCCCGTGATATTCCGGCATATTCCGTGATATTCCGCCGTATTCCGGTGTCCCAGGATTTTCGCCCCCCCTACATTTTCGCCCCCCGGGGGGCGAAATTCCTAGGAATATCGCCCCCCCCAGGGGGGCGAAAATCCTAGGAATTTCGCCCCCCTTTAGGATATTCGCCCCCCTTTAGAAACTTCACTCTTTCTTTAGGATTTTCGTTCAAAATTTCGCCCTTCCTAACAGTTGCCTGGGATAATTATTACATGGCTTCATTTGAAATCAGTATCAATTCAAAATTGTTAAGACAGAGCTTGAAATAACAACCGATCACCGATCAATGATCGGCAAGGAATTGCTTATGATCGGCGGAAAAGCATGGTTTCGGTTTCCAACCTGAAAAAAGCAGGGAAAGTCATGACTGCCGATCACCATGATCGGGAACTTTGGGAACGTTATTTCAAGTCCTGTAAGAATGCAAATTTACAATTACGTGTATCGAAAGGGCTTACACAGTTACAGTAGATCAATAGGACTTATGACGCTTCACAGCACACCATGCATATTTTGCATTTTCAGTGTTAATCCTTAAACTCATTGTTAAAAAGTAATCACCGTGGTGGTTATTGTAATTATTGGTATTGTTTTGCATCCGCGTTTTGTCGTTATTGGAAAATGTGTGGCTTATAAGTTGTCACTATTTTTTACTTGCATTATTTCAATATAGTTTGTAAATCTCAGAAGCGAAGGGTAGAACTTGCCATTAGGCAATACTCCAATAATATACGTTTCAAAAAAGCTTTTAGTTTTGCAGAGTTACATTCTCAAATGTCTAAGGCACTAATAAAATCAAAATATCATGAAATTATTTGAATAAACCACACCACATATATAATGCAATTTTCTTTGCGGAAGTCAAGAATCAAGATTACATCACTAACACTGACACGGAAAGTTGATGATTCAACGGACAATAGTCAATACGCTTCCCAACACATTCCATAGATTTTTTATTAATCCCATAGTTTATTGTTAGCAAGTGATTACTGTGGTGGCTATTGTATGTAATTTTATCTCCTTGTAATAAATCACGCAATGAATCTTTTCAACTTGCAATCGTTTTGTTTTTAGATCAAAAATTCAAAATTAATATGGGGGGGGGCGAAATTCCTAAAGGGGGGCGATATTCCTAGGAGATTCGCCCCCCTGGGGGGCGATATTCCTAGGAGATTCGCCCCGGGAGGGCGAATATCCTAGGAATATCGCCCCCCTTTTGAGAGGGGGGGCGAATCTCCTGGGGGGGCGAATCTCCTGTGACACCGGCATTCCGGGTTTTCACAACGCCCTCATATTACATGCTTAATAAATTATAACTCTGTATGACTGCACATGTCTTTTGTGACCTTATACCAAAGCATTGACAAAGTTATTTTAGTACAATTATCCGAGTTGCATATATATAGCGCAAGAGAAGTCATCCACATGTTGTACTTAGTCTTTGTTGAATTATTGTAAAAGATAAAACCGATATCGGTTTTAACTAAAGGAGCAATGATAGACAATTCGCGACAGAAAGCAAACATACACGTTCTGGGTCAGGTCATTATTTAATATACACACGAAACAGTAGAGGGCCAACGATAAAGTGTTTATAACGATTCTTCTTCACTCACCAATAATTTTAGTGTAATTATTGGCATTGCAAAATTTATAATGACAACAATTGGGTCAATAGCTTTATAGCACAACCGGCTTTGACATACTGCTAAAAAGGAACTTTCAAAATCATTGACGAGATAGATTCCTGCTGTGATGCTTTCTCTACTCTTTCAGTTACCTGGCTTTATTACAGTTCGACAGCCTTTATAGTTTAGGTGATAAATATGGTTTAAAATACTCTTTGTTTTAATATACATTTGCTATTTTTAGTTAATTAATAAGTGGCCCGTAATTAATTAATAGCACGTGGTCATGACTCACGTGAACACACCATACCAGGGTCTCTCCGGAGCAGGGGGGTGAGCAGAGGTGAGACACTGAGAACGAGGTTGCGTTTGTGGTTGAATTTTACCTAAAATTGAAGCTTATATTACGTATAATAACATACCTAACATATATATGTTGGGAAATTGATAATTTTGTAATTAAAAGTGATATTTTTAGGCGATTTTTCATTTGTAAGAGCATTCCTAAAAAAATATCGTGTTACCATGACAACTACTTTAGATACTTCATGTTCGGAAAATACAATGGTTTTGTCAGCAAGGCGAGGGTTTCTGCATGCATGCATGTATTTTCTAGTTTAGTTATAAATTTGATAAAACCTTGACCCACCGTGTCCTTGTTATTGTTATTATTACCGTCGCTTGCAACTAACTATTAACGGTCGCTTATAAAACATTGCCTATTCGCGTGTTTCTGCTGGGATCTACATCGTAGGCTAATTCGCGTGAGAATCTTAAGTTTTCTTATTTTGACATAATAGCTATTTTTCAATAAATATATTGATATTTTAAACTTATTGGATCAGGGGCGTAGGAAGCATCAAAAGATTGGGGGGGGGGGGCACCGGCTTCTAGGGGCACTTAGGGTATTGAAAAGGACACGTAAAAATTTCTTCCCAGAAATGTTGGCGACGGGGAGGGGATTTTCCCGCCGTACCATACCGAAATTACACGTTTTTGAGCAATTGTTTTTTAAAAAACTTGGAAATTTCCAAACAAAAAGAGCACCTTTGATGTTAATTTAGTATTTACAGCGACATTAGCTCCTACAAAAAGGGCATTTTTCATCACAAAAAGGGCACTTTTCATCACAAAAAAGGGCACTTTTAGTCATTTGGAAAAATTGGGGGGGGGGGGGGG